GGTAGGTAGGTAGTAGTAGTAGTAGTTAGTTAGTTAGTTAGTTAGTTAGTTAGTAAGTTAGTAGTAGTAGTAAGTAGTAGTAGTAGTAGTAGTAGTAGTAGTAGTAGTAGTAGTAGTAGTAGTAGAGAGAGAGAGAGAGAGAGAGAGAGAGAGAGAGAGAGAGAGTCTGAAAACTATTTTGTAATTGCCCCATAAAGAGAACAAGAAAGAGACCAACCACTCAAGGTTTTTCATGCATATGATTGAAAGGGATTAGATCAGCTAGATATTCTTGTACATAGCGAATGAGAGAGAGCGAGAGGGCGTTTCATATCATGGTGTGTATGCAAAAGAAAGTACAAAGAAGTTCATAAATTCATAGAGAGAAATCACAAATTCTCATGTGACTGGTGGTCTATAAATTATTTCTTACAAGCATGGCAGAGTAAGAGAGAAAGAACGTGGTGGGGGAAGACATATTCTATAAGTATATGTGAGCTGTGCTGTGAGAGCGTGTACGCATGCATATGAATGTGCGTGTGTTTATTTAGACACAGAGAGAGAGACTAACTGCGTCAAACTCATCCCATGAAAAATCTCAAGTGCAAAAGAAAGCTTTACCTCCCTTCCCTAATTCACCTTGCCATGCAACCCAATCAACAGGCGACCGCACCCCAGACGTTTCACCCTCACATTGGTCAGACCCAAAAAGGCTCACATCAGAAGTACCCGCCTTCTCTAAATTGGCAGTTAAAGAGGACGGATCCCTTCCGTTACTTAACCCATTTTCAGTGACCCAACTCAAAGATCTTCTCTCACTGGAATTGGCAGTGTCCAGCAACTCCTCATCTTCCCCAACCACCACCTCATCATCACTGCTACTGCTTCCACCACTGTTAACTGTCCCCTCTGTGCCATTGAGATTGATCTCTTCCATCCTCGAAGGTTGTGAGGTGCTCAATGGCTCATCCACAATTCTATCATCTTGGAAAGCAAACCAGTTGGAGTTTGTGAAGAGGCAACCACTGTAACATGCAAAAGAGTGAGGCATAGCACAGTCACCATCATTATAGTAAGAATTCTTTGTTTTGCTTTTTTTTTTAAGTGGCAAAACAAGATCATTAGCTACTGAACAAAAATAATAATAGTCAAATAATAATAATAGTAAGAATATTATTTATTATTTTCCAGCATACTTTTCTTGATCATCACCAAGCCTCAGGGATGATATAACAACTTCAGCAGAGTCGTCATCAAAGTAGACATCCTGCTAACATTCCAGTACCCAACTTATTAAACAGAGAAATAGTGGTCAACGCTGAATCTATACATCTAAGTAAACAGAAAGAAGAGATAAAAATCAAAAAGCATGGGTTCTTGACTAAGGCAAGGCCTACCGTGCTATTTTCATGTATGCTACAATCCACTGGATTATCGAAAATCATAAACTGTTGGGATCATCAGCATTCCATGAAACGATGAAGAGCAAAGGTGAGGGGAACCCACCAGAAAGAACATAGCTACAATGGTGTGTCCATTCTCCACATTTACCCCCATCATTCCACCAGACATTCAGACTGATAACCCAAGTAGAATATAGATATCCATAACCAACTGGATTATTGTAACTACGGTACATTCGTACACCCACCAACACCAAAAGAACAACCATCCTAACATAAACAACAAGTCCAAAGCTCACACACACACACACACACACAAAAATCTGAAAAGCAATATCAACAATGATTTCAATTCTAGAGATGTTTAGTGGAAGGGGTGGCTTTCATATTCTTGTACTGTACATTACTAAACAGGGTTTCAAAAACCACTCCTGATTCCAATGCAACTGGTCTGACTCCATAATTCCCAGGTCAGACAGGACTATACTTAACCCAAAACATATAAAATAAAACAGCTAGAAAACTGGGAGAATCGGATGATTCCAGGGGGTTTTTTTTTACCCGGAACCGCCAGCCTCCTGATCCTGTCCAACTCAGGCAATTCCTGAATTGGACAGGAGATTTTTGAATAACCGTGCCTGACAAATGAGATGCTTGTATAACATGCCACATGGTCATGGACATACCTCCTCATCTCGGTCAAGTGATCCATGAACCTACATAACCAGCACACCAACATTGGTTCAGTTTTGTCACGTAAGTAAAAGACTACAAGACAATTCCAATGGACTTTGGATCACCATAGCCCATTGGGATGATCAACATCCAATGAAATGATAGATGGTAATGGGGTGGGAGTGGGGCTTTCCAGAACAGAATACAACCTGAATGTTGGGTTTCATGTTTGTTGCCATCACCATTATCCTTCCATTGCATGCTAATGACCCGAATGAACAATGGTTTTCTCCATTATGTCATTGTATAAACCAAAAGTAAATGGTGCATTTACTTATCAGAAAGAAAGTGTAAGATAAGGAATTATGGATTAGATTCCATGAAATGTGCTTTAGTATAATGCGCATAGTGTGTACCTCTTCACCATCATCATTCTCGTACATTCCATACCGAAAAGCCTGGCTTAAGTTATTAGCCAGGGCTGCAACATCATAATCTCGGTCACGGATATCATCCTCATCACTATCCCTCATCCTATCCTGCAAAGAACTTGGACGGCTGCACAGTACATGAAATCAATTAGCCACCGCAACTACTTTCTAACATGTTGGCTAAACAAAAAAAAATCAACCACACAACAAAGTGATAATGGGAAGGCATACCATAATTCAATGGACAATGGCATGGTTCATAGTCCATTGGGGTCATCGCCGTCCAATAAAATGGACAGTGATGGACAGAGTCCAGAAAAGAACATGAATGGGCTCCAGCAACATGACCACAACAGTGAAGACATATGCATCTAACATAAATTGAAAAAGCATAAAAAAAAAAAAAGGAATATTTGTCACTAATAGCTTAAATACTGAATGAGGATACCCACCCACAAGTCCATTGATAGACATTTTCCACCGTGTTGCGTTTGAGTAGAACATTGGCATGCCATTCAATCCATTCACCGTTTTCCTGTAATATGCAAAACACCACGATACTAAAAATTCCTCAAATGAAATAAAAATACTCATACAACATTTAGTAAGACAATGTAAAAGGAGCAATTTTTTCTAATAATTTGCAAGGTTTCAAAAAACTCTAGGCGGCCCCTAGGCGGCCTGCCTGGCACCCAGCACCTAGGCGGGCGCCCAGAACCTCGGGCGCCCCGTAGTTTTAAAAAAATGAGAAATGCCTTACGTCCCTGGGTGCCCGCTCAGGTACATCCGCCCGCGTAGAGCCGCCTGGGACTAGGCGGGCAGATTTTTTGTCCAGGTCGCCTAGGCGGGCGTCTAGGCGCCAAGCGGACCGTTTTTTAAAACATTGATAATTTGTCAAAAAAAAAATTAATATAAGATACAATAATGCCAAAAATGAAAGGCTAACATCACGTTTCACATGAGAAATCCAAAAAAGCATCCCTAAGTCCCCTACAAAGACAATTACTAAGTAAATAGAGTTGATCATAATATTGACAGAATCACATCATAAATCTGAAAATGAGTTCCTATTATGAAAAGCACTAGATGCAAGTGGTACTGACATCAATGTGAAGATTTCTCTCAACAAGTCATGTGCACCAGGCAAGGAAAACCAATTAAAACAAAAGTAGAAACCGAGTCTTAAATCTGTCTTGGTTATAAGAAAAGCGTGTACATGATAGATAAAAACATTAAATTTATTTAATGGGACAGCATTTAGATCACAAATTTCACCCCCCG